AGGATGCAACCTATTTATAAGTTTACACAAACATGAAAACATTCCTTATAAGGTAAAACTTGTGGCTCCAGCATCTGATTGGCTGCTGCTGTTACCTGGGGACCTGGCAGGCTTTTGGGATAGCAGCTCCATTCCTGTAATGAATTACTCTGTGCTCTGCTAAGCCCAAGGCCTGCTGTTAAGGTCTGGCTCTTTCCCAGGCCTTTAACCTACATTAATCCCCACAAACATGTATGTGTGCCTGGGATTGCTGCAACCCATATACAGAACCTTGCACTTTGCTTTGTTGAACTTCATAAGGTTTGCATTGGCCCACCTCAAGCTGCACCACACATCTCAGTGTAGTCAGAGAACTTACTGAGGGAGCACTCGATCCCACTATGTCACTGACAAAGATGTTGAACAGTATTGGCCCCAGTTACTGACCCCTGAGGGACACTCATCACTGGTCTCCACATGGACAATGAACCGTTGAGCACAACTCTTTGAGTGTGACCATCCAGCCAGTTCTTTATCCACCGAGTGGTTCATCCATCAAATCCATGTCTCTCCAATTTGGAGACAAGGATGTTGTGCAGGACAGTGTCCAATGCTTTGCATAAGTCCAGGTAGATGATGTCAGTTGCTCTGCCCCATCCACCAGTGCTGCAGCCCCATCATAGAATGTCACCAAATTTGTCAGGCATGATTTCCCCTTTGTAAAGCCATGTTGGCTCTTACCAATCACCTCTTTGTTTTCCATGTGCCTTAGCGGAGTTTCCAGAAGAACTCTGTGATCTTGCCTGGTACAGAGGTGACACTGACTGGTCTTTAGTTTCCCAACTCTTCTGTTTTCCCCTTTTTGAAAATGGGAGTTATATTTCCCTTTTTCCAGTCATCAGGGACTTCACCTGACACCACAATTTTTCAAAAATTATGGATAGTGGCATAGCAACTTCATCTGCCAGCTCCCTCAGGACCCTTGGATGAATCTCATTGGGTCCCATGGACTTGTGCACATTCAGGTTCCTTAGATGGTCTCTAATCTGATCCTTTCCTACAGTGGGTTTAGGGTCTTCACATATTACCATTTAATTTTGGTTTGGCAGATAGATTTTTCTATTAATGGTTTTCAAATGAAGATTGAATCAGATTTTGGTGGCAAAATCACAGAATAATTTCTTTTTATGATTTTTATCATTCTCCTCTCTGATAATAATTAGCTTAGTAGTGAGACCACTTCTGGATTCAGAGGGCTCTGGATCAGACCCTGAATTTGCTTGCAATCATTACATGATCTGATTTGAGACTATTTCTAACCTGCATCTTCATGAACCTTTTCATTTTAGTTCCATCTCACAAGACCTACACTATATTTTTTTCTCATTGATTTCCATTTAATGTCACCACAATTGCTATCACAAATACCACACAATGAAGAAGAAGGAGGAGAAACACACTTTCATAAGGTTTCTGCACATAGGAGCATAGAGTAATTAGGTAGGGGGGTGACCTGTGCAGACTGCCTGGCTCACCCCCTACTCAAAGCAGAATCAACTTCAAAGTTCAATTCAACTTGAAAGTTAGATTAGGTTGATGAGGGCCTTATCTGGTTGAGTTTTAAATATTTCCACTGATAGCAATTCTGTAACTTCTCTAGTCTCTTTTCCTATCCTCAATATGAACTTTTCTTTTTACATGTATGTGGAATTTCCCTGCTTTACTGCAGCTTTTAAATTGAATTGAGATAGTTTTTTAATTTGAACATGGAGTAAATCCTGAGTTCTAGAAAGATTTTTCTTTTCTTAGAATAAAATTCCACACCTGAATATAATCCTATATAACTGTGGCAGTGAATAAAAACAAGACCCTCCTGAGATGGTGAAAACAGAGAGACTGCTTTATTAAAACTGAACAAGTTCCTATATTCAAAAAAGGCACTGTTACAAAATGTGGGGGGAGCAAGCACAGTCCTGTCCAATCACTTCAAAGCTTCTTCCCGGGACACCCATAATTGGTCATCCTTACATGGGTTTTCATCAGGACTTCAACTCTGGAACTGGAAGTGTTCAAGGCCAGGCTGGATGGGGCTCTGAGCAACCTGGTCTAGTGAAAGGTATTCCTGCCAATGGCAGGGGGTTGGAACGAGGTGATCTTTAAGGTCCCTTCCAACCCAAACCATTCTAGGATTCTATGATTTAAACTTGGGAGAGGGTTTAAAGCATAAGTACAGACATTGTGAAACATTACTCTACAGTTAATATAATGCAGTCTTGATATTCTTTTTACCAAGGTTGAAATAGGGATATGCCAATTTAGCAAAGAAAGCTTTCAAAATGGGTATTCCTTATTTTTTAGCTGAACATTTCAAAAACCATCAAAATACCATCTGTCCTGGAAACTGTCAGGAACTTATAAATCAGCATAAAATAATACAGGAGCAAGAAAAGAATCATATGCCAGTAGTTAATGTTGTTATTAATTCTGTTGTTGCCTTTTTTTTTTCTTTTTACAGTGTATCCTATTCAGTGCATGTCTCTGAGGATTACCCAGGTACAGTACAATGTTTTTGTCCATGACGCTTGCATGCACATTACTGCAATTTGCAATATTCAAATGAGAATATTTAATGTGTTAATGTGTTCTAAGTGCATCCTTGTGCTAATCATTTTCACAGAATCACAGAATAACAGGATGGGTCAGGTTGGAAGGGACCACAGTGGATCATCTGGTCCAACCTCCCTGCTCAAGCAGGTCATCCTAGAGCACATTGCACAGAATAGCATCCAGATGGTTCTGGAATATCTCCAGAGAGGGATACTCCACACCCTAGGCAATCTGTTCCAGTGTGTGGTCACTTGCACAGTAAAGAAGTTCTTCCTCATGTTCAGGTGGAACTTCCTATGCATGAGTTTTTGCCCATTGCTTCTTGTCCTATTGCTCGACACCACCAAGCAGAGTCTGACTTCATCCTCTTGACACCCTCCCTTCAGATACTGATAGACATTGATGATGTCCCCTCTCAGTTGTTTCTTCTCGAGGCTGAACAGGCCCATCTCCCTCAGCTTTTCCTCATAAGAGAGATGCTCCAGTCCCTTAATCATCTTTGCTGCCCTCTGCTGGACCAACTCCAGGAGTTCCATGTCTCTCCTGTACTGAGGAGCCCAGAGCTGGACACAGCACTCCAGATGCATTTCACCAGGGCTGAGTAGAGGGGTAGGATCACCTCCCTTGACATGTTGGCACTGCTGGCTCATGGATAGCTTGTTGTTCATCAGGACCTCCAGGCCCTTCTCCACAGTGCTACTCCCCAGCAGGTCAGCCCCCAACCTGTGCAGGTGCCTGGGATTATTCCTCTCCAGGTGCAGGACCCTGCATTTGCCTTTGTTGAAGGCAGCTTTTAATAATAAAATTTTAGCAATATACCTAATTTTTCTTTAGTTAGATTATTTTAACAATCATTTCTCCTTTTCAGGTGTCATTTATCAACTGGGTCAGGGTGAGAAAAGTTGGTTCACAAGTTTGCAGAGAAGCTTATGATGCTTTCCATGTTTGGAACCAACAACAATAGGAGTGTGAAGCTGAATTTTTGCCCCCAAAAAAGCACAGAGAGACTGTTTTAGAGACAAAAATTTGTTTCTTTAAAGCAGGAGGTATTTTAATGCAACGCGTTGGAGAGTTCCCAGGTCGCCCTGGACAAAGAACTCTCTCTTGTACAATCAGTACAGTTCTTTTATACAGTTTAGAGCATAAGATTACATTATAAACATGCATATTCATTAAATTGCAACATCTACTTGTAATATTCATATATAGGCGGAGTCTTCAATTTGTGGAGGTTTAGAGGTGGGAGTTCCTGTAGCCTTCATCATGGGCAGTGGTCGTTCGCAGTTCTTCCTCATTATAAACTTTTGAACTGTCCTGAAATCTTTCCCTAATTTGGATAGCTGGCAAGTGTGGTAGGGTCAGGTTGACTTTTGGCTCGTCCTAAGATTTCCTGATGTTGCTATCTCTTTGTTTTATGCTTTAAATGTTCTATCTTGTCAACATGTTCTGTTCCTCAGACAATTTATTACTTCTGTGGTTTCCTAATGCTAGGGTTTTGGAATTACTTCCACAATTTTGTGTTTGAGTTAACCTTTTGTTTCTCAAAGACTGCCTCAATTGAGTGGCTTCATTTCCCCCCTTTTCTTATAACTTACGAATTCTTTCGTCAAGTTTTAATTCCAGGGGGTGTTGGTACGACTACCATTGCCCAAATCATTTGGGCCTTTGTCACTAAGGATTTCAGTTTTTGCCATAGGTATATGTTTGTGAGAGTTAGTAAAAGCATAGCTATGGTTATAGTTAGCATTGGGTGCACCAGGTAATGGGATATCTGTGTTGCTGTTAGGGAATACCCTGTAAAGATATCCCACCAGTGATGCTGGCCTACTTGTTCTACTTTGGTTACTTCTCTTTCTTTATTTGTTCTGCAAGGGAATGCTTCAGACCACCCAGAAAATGTATCAGTTAATACTAGTAGGTATCGAAACCCCCCCCTTTTCTTGGGAGTTCAGAGAAATCAATTTGCCATACTTCACCTGGGAATTTACTTCGATTTATGGCTCCTTGATGTACCTTGGTTCCAGTATTTGGGTTATTCTTCAGGCATCGTTCGCACTGTGATGTAACGTATTTTACTGTGGTAAAGAGTTTTGGTCCTGCTATTCGGGTTTGTAAATATTGATAAAGTGGGTCTAAGCCCCAATGGGCCTTTTCATGTTCTGTCTTAACAAATTGCCACATCAATTTTCCTGGTATTATTAGTTGACTTGTTTTTAATTGACTCCATCCATTATCTAATAATTTGCCCTTGTTCTTTTTAATCCATTTTTGATCTGATTCTTGATAATTTGGTTGAAAATTTGTATCTAATTCTCCTGGTATTAGAGCTGTTATATTTATTTCTTCGGTTCTTGCAGCAACTAATTTAGCTTCTGCATTTGCTTTTCTATTCCCTACTTCCGGAACTGTGTTACCTTTCAGGTGTCCCCTACAATGCATTATGGCCACTTGTTCTGGGAGTTGGACCTCTTCTAGCAATCTTAGGATTTCTTCTGCATGTTTGACTGTTTTCCTTTGGGCAGTTAGTAGTCCCCTTTCTTTCGAGATTGCTCCATGAGCATGTACTACAGAGAAGGCATATTTAGAATCAGTCCAGATGTTAACTCGCATGCCTTCTGCTAATTCCAGGGCTCGGGTAAGAGCTATTAGTTCTGCCTTCTGGGCTGAAGTCCCTGCAGGTAAAGGATTTGATTCGATTACCTCCTCCGTTGTGGTTACTGCATAGCCTGCCATCCTTACTCCTTGCCTCACAAAGCTGCTGCCATCCGAGAACCAGTTGTCCGCATCTTCAAACGGCTCCTCCTTGAGATCAGGGCGACTGGAATAAACTGCTTCGATCGTTTCCAGGCAATCATGTTCAATGGGTTCCGCCGGGATTCTTCCTTCTAGAAATGAGACTGGGTTCACAACATTAGTCACTTGAATGATTATATCGTCTGATTCAACTAGGATGGCTTGATATTTTAGGAATCTTGAAGGTGATAACCAATGGTTACCCTTTTGTTCCAGCATTGCTGAGACAGTATGAGACACTAACACAGTCATTTTCTGACCTAACGTAAGCTTTCTGACCTTTTCTATGTTTATGATTACTGCGGCCACTGCTTTTAGACAACCAGGCCAACCTTTGCTTACTTCATCCAACTGTTTGGAGAAATAAGCTACAGCTCTCTTGTGTGGTCCCAACTATTGTACCAACACTCCTAGAGCCATCCCTTACCGCTCGTGAGAGAATAGCCAAAATGGCTTGGTTACATCTGGAAGACCCAAAGCTGGGACTCTCATGAGTTCTTGTTTCAGTCTCTTAAAAGCTCCCTCTGCCTCGGGAGTTCAGACTAGGGTACTCGTAGTTTCTTTCAGTAAATTGTACAGTGGTTTGGCAAGTATCCCGTATTGATAAATCCATAACCGGCACCAACTTGTCATTCCTAGAAAGGCACGTAGATCTCTCACCATCTCTGGTCTGGGCATTTGGCAAATGGCTTCTTTTCTCGCTGTTCCTAGGGATCGTTGTCCTCTGGAGATTTCATATCTCAGGTATATCACCTTTTCCTGTACCAATTGTGCCTTCTGTAGAGAGACTCGATATCCACTTAAACCCAAGAAGTTTAGCAGGGAAATAGTCCATTTAATGCACTCTTCTTCTGTCTCAGTTGCTATCAATAAATCATCTACATTGTAGAAGGGTACCATTTCCCTGTGGCCTTTTCCATTGTTCTAATTCTTTGGCCAATTGGTTTCCGAAAATTGTGGGACTATTTTTGTAACCTTGAGGTAACACAGTCCAAGCTAATTGAGTTTTTCTCCCTGTTTTGGCAGATTCCCACTCAAAAGCAAAAATTTTCTGGCTTGCTAGAGCTAAGGTTAGGCAAAAGAATGCATCTTTTAAGTCCAATACTGTGAACCATTTTAAAGTTTCCTTCAGTTTGGTTAGAAGAGTATATGGATTTGCTACTACTGGATGTAAGGTCTTCGTAATTTCATTTACTGCCCTTAAGTCCTGGACTAATCTGTATGTCCTATTTGGTTTCTTAACAGGTAGGATTGGTGTATTGAAATCTGATTTACACTCTACCAATAATTCTAGTTCTAAAAATTTCTCTATTATTGGTTTAATTCCCTTTTTGTCTTCTAACCTCAGTGGGTATTGTTTCTTTACTACCGGTTTTGTTCCTGGTAGCAATTCAATAGTAATAGGAGCTGCCCGTTTTGACATCCCAGGTACATCAGTGGCCCACACCAACGGATACACTTCGCTCATAATGCGTTCAATGTTATGACTTTCAGGTTTTGGTTCTATGCAGCTGATTGTTAAACTTAAAGCTAATATTAATTGTTCATCATTTACCTGAAATTCAAGTTTATCCTTATTGAATTTTATTACAGCCTCTAGGTTTTCCAATAAATCTCTACTTAGTAAAGGCTTTGGAGAATTTGGTAGACTCAAAAACTGATGGATTCCCATTTGTTTTCCAATTGATGGATTCCCATTTGTTTTCCAATTTTGTATTTAATGGGTTTTAAGAAGTAGGCTTTTTCTGGTTGACCCGTTGCTCCCACAACCTGTACAAATTCATTACTTCTGGGTACTAGCTCTTGATTTAAAACTGAAAATGTTGCTCCCGTATCAATTAGAAAGTCTAGTTCCTTTTCACCTTCCCCTAGCTCCATTTTAACTAGTGGGTCTGCTAGGGAACGACTCACCGGTCCCCCTCATTCACTGTTCTGATGTGCAATGGTAGTACTTGTAGGTCTTTCCCTTAGTTGAGGACATTCTCGTTTCCAGTGTCCTATCTGCAAGCAATTGGAACATTGATTTGATCCTATCCTGGGTGCATGGGACTGAAATCTCCCTCTCCCTCTCCCTGTTGCTGGCTAGCCCCTACCTTTGCCTCTGGCATTTGGTTCTGGGAATTTTGCATTCTGGTTTGCTACAGCTACTGCTACTACCCGAGCAAGTCTCTTATCTTCCTTTTTCTTTTCTTCCTTCTCTCTGTTATTATAAACTTTCCAGGCCTCATTCATTAGTGTTTCTAAACTTTTGTTTGCTGGATGTTCTAGTTTTTGTAGTTTCTTTCTGATGTCTGGGGTGCATTGTCCCATCACTAGTCCTAATAACTGTTGTTTTCCTTCCTCTGATGCTGGGTCTAGGGGTGTGTACTGTTTCATAGCTGCCCTAAGTCTATCCAAAAATTCTGAAGGGGTTTCATCTTTTCCCTGTCTGACGTCATATAGCATTGCCCAATTGATGGCCTTAGGTATTGCATTCCGCAGACTCATTGCTATTAGTTTCCTATATTGCACTAGCCGCCCATATCAGGTAACAATGCAGCATGCTCCCTTCCTGTCCTCAATACAAGTTCCTTCTCTGTTTCTGTTAATTCTGACAACATTACCTCTATGTCTTCCCAATCAATATCTTGGTTCTTTGCCAATAATTCAAACCTCCTAGCTACTCCCTCTGGATTCTTTCTGAAGTTTCTTGCTTCTTCTCTCCAGCTATTTAAATCACTTGTTGTAAATGGTACTTTTATTCGTGCTTGTTCCCCTGCAATAGGCATTATTCTTCTAAGGGGAGCTATCGTATAACTCCCTTCGTCTCTCTCTTTTGCTTCTTTCCGTGCTGCAGATCTAGTGTAATATGAATAACTGGTCCCCTCCCTGGGATCTTCTTCCTGGGTTTCTGTATCTGTTCTGTTCTTTCTCTTTTCTTTTCTCTTTCCCCATTTTCGTTCCTCATTCTCACTTTCCAAATCATCTGCCAAGTCATCCTCTACTAACCTCCTGGCATGGTTTACGCAGTCCAGTCGCCTCTCCTTCTGTATTTGGATGAGATGCTGACGACGCTCAGCCTGCCCCGTGACACTACTTTCTTCGTCTTCTTCTCCTTGCATATCTCTCTTATCCTCTATCTGAATGACTATATTTAACTTCTGTGAGTTGTTTGCTTTTTCTCCCGGGTTTACTACATCGTTACTTTCTTCACTGTATTTTAACTCGGGGAAATCACTCTCCTTTCTGGTGCTCCCTGATCTCGGCGGGCTACTTTCATTTTCATAATTCCCAGTTTTTGGCGTACTGCTTTCTATTTCGCGGATGCCTGACCGTCGTGAGCTGCTTATATCTCTCGGTGTACTATAATTTCTACTCTGGCTACCTTCTAGTTTGGGTGGGCTTTTCTTTTCCCCACGACCCTCTAGCTCTAGTCGTGACAGGCTGCTTTCTTCCCTATCAATCTCCGACCTGAGTGGACTGCTTTTTTCTCTGTAACTTCCTGAGTCTTGCGGACTACTCAGTCTCTGTGAGCCACTCTCCCTTCCACAACTTTCTGATTTTGATGGGCTACTCCCTTCCCAACTATTTTCTGATCATTGGGGGCTGTAATTGGTCTTGGATTTGTCTTGTTCTAATGACATATAAAAGTGTGTTATAATTAATTGTTCCCTCCGATGGCCACTTTTCATCCTCATCTAATTTATACGAAGACCACCATTGAGTACAATATTTTAGGAGTGTTTTCTTACTTATGTTTCACCCTGGAATCCCCCCTAAGTCTTTCCAATGCTTCAGGACACACCCTAAGGGGGGTTTCATGTTCATATCTTTACTTTGTTGGCCTCCCATTATTATTTTCTGGATTTATCCCTCTATTTCTAACCAGGTTTTTCTTTGTGTTAATATGTCATGCACACAATTCTCAATCGCTTCGTCCGTCTCTGGCCTGACTTCTCGCGAAGGACAGGAACCGCAGATTAGGACTCCCTCTCGCTTCGTAGCGATGCTACGTCTCAGTCATTCTCAATCACACCTGCATACCTTAGATAAAACGTTCCTACCTTTCGGTTTGTATTTATGCAGACTACTTTACCAAGTGAGGTCGTGAGATGTCGCTTGCAGACTGTGAGATATTGCTTTGCTGCCGAGTATTCAGTTTACGTTTACCACAGGACACCACTGTGAGTTAGAAGATATATGGTTTGCTACAGCCAAAATGTTATAAATATTTGCTTATGAATGTTGGTTTCCACCAGATCTTGATTTGCTTTATCCTGCAGTTATTACACCGAGTTACAAAGTGAGCAAGGACAAATTTTATCTCAAGACCCAAGTGCACAGTTTTTCATCTTTACAAAATTTCGTGCATTATCATTTCCCATATAAAATTGTAAGACGTTATGAAATGCACCTTTGTAAAACCCTTTACAAACAGTAAACAGAACTTTTTCTCTATACCTTTAAATTTCAAACAACATGTTAACAAGAAATTCTTCGCATTCCAAAAACCCTTTCTCAAGAGTAATTGTTGGAAACGTTTCTGGACTTTGGTTGGAAACATTCTCGAACCTTGGAAACAATCCTAGATTAGTTAGAGAATGTCTTTAGCCAGAAAACTCTTCACTTTTGTTTTTAACTCCTAAAGCACGACTTTAAACATGTTATGAGCACACAAGACAAAACCAGTCACATAAGATACAGTTTCAGTAGAATTTTAACCAGTCCTTTTCTATTCCTGGGCCTCTAACCCAGCTTTGGTGGGACTCTAACCCGCTCTCCTCTATACCTGGGCCTCTAACCCAGCAGGGATTAATGCCAGGGCGTCCCCTTGGCTTTCCCCAGGCGGTGACGTCTCACCCCCGTCTTTTAACAGAGCGCTCTCAGGTTTAAAAACATATCAAATAAAATACCTCTTAATTTGAAGCAGGAGATCTTGTCCACCGTTGCGTGTAGGTCCGAGGGGTCTGGGAGTCTCTTTACCGACAAAAGATCCGTTGGGAGGGCCCAGAGAGTCCCTGGCCCCCTGGGCCACTGCCCTGGGAGACAGAGAGGATGTCCCTTCGTGGTCGCCAATTGAAGCCGAATTTTTGCCCCAAAAAAAGCACAGAGAGACTGCTTTAGAGACAAAAATTTGTTTCTTTAAAGCAGGAGGTATTTTAATGCAAAGCGTTGGAGAGTTCCCAGGTTGCCCTGGACAAAGAACTCTCTCTTATACAATCAGTACAGTTCTTTTATACAGTTTAGAGCATAAGATTGCATTATAAACATGCATATTCATTAAATTGCAACATCTACTTGTAATATTCATATATAGGCGGAGTCTTCAATTTGTGGAGGTTTAGAGGTGGGAGTTCCTGTAGCCTTCATCATGGGCAGTGGTCGTTCGCAGTTCTTCCTCATTATAAACTTTTGAACTGTCCTGAAATCTTTCCGTAATTTGGATAGCTGGCAAGTGTGGTAGGGTCAGGTTGACTTTTGGTTCGTCCTAAGATTTCCTGATGTTGCTATCTCTTTGTTTTATGCTTTAAATGTTCTATCTTGTCAACATGTTCTGTTCCTCAGACAATTTATTACTTCTGTGGTTTCCTAATGCTAGGGTTTTGGAATTACTTCCACAATTTTGTGTTTGAGTTAATCTTTTTTTTCTCAAAGACTGCCTCAATTGAGTGGCTTCTTTGGCATGGTAGATAAAGCTTGATCTTTCAAGAGACTGCACAGTCTGCCTTGGGGCCAGTAAAACAACTCTGTGTTAGACCTTAATGACACTACTCAGGTTTTTCAAGCCTGTGAACTGTGCATTGATGCTTCTCATGGTCTGTTGAAGCCAAGGGTTTGTGTAAGGATGTTTATGGTAAGATAAGCTTGCAAAGCTGTTCCCAGCTGCTCAGTCCTTCCTTCCTGTCATACCCTGTTGTGAGTGTTTTAAG